GTTTTTTCGCAATTTCAGTTCTTTGGAAAGCACGGTATCACTGATAAACTTTAATTATATGTATAATACAAATATACCTTTAATAGTTAAAGTTGGTGTATGAAAGCAAAAATTAACATCCAAAATTGTTTCTTGTCGTTTGTTCGATTAGTTTATCGTCGTCCTTTCAACAGACAGATTTCTTGTCGAAGGCATAACCATTTTAAGTATAACTACTTAACATTCAAAATGCAACGAGTGTTACTGCTGTAAAACAGGAACAGTATCATTAACAGTTTGTGGGCGACCAGTTGAAGATAGAGTTTTAGTAAAATAGTCTTCTTCTTGAAGCATCTTATTCAACATTTGTTATGATATGAAGAAAAGAAAACACAAAAAGAAGAATTTTTTTCTTATATATATATACTCAAGTTCTTTTAGTTGCTAAATAATCAAAAATCTTATTGTAAAAATAGTTTGCTGGAATGGTTACGTGGTTGTTGAGTTCTATTTTTATAAATTTACATCAAATAATCTGTTAATTAGATATAGCAAATTAGGCTTTAGGTTTATCCTGTTCCAATGATATTTTTGAAAAGTCAGTACTGATCGTTTTAAACGTGTATTCATCGTACCGTTGCTACTTCTATCAACTAAATGTTTACCAGAATAACTTTTATAGTTAGTAAACTGTCTAAAAAATTAGTACGCATGAAAAATCTTTTTCAACATATTTACCTTAATTGCAAAAGTGTTTCTTGAAAAAAAAAATTCTATTTTCTTTGATTATTATAAAGGGAGGTTTGAAAAAAAATTTCTACGTTTTTAGAAAAACGTAAAATGGCAAGAAGTTTTTCATATTTACTGTCTTTTAAATGTAAAATTTTTCACTGTATAGTACATTGATTCTAATAACCGAAGCAAATATTGATGCACTAAAAAAATGTTAGAAGTTAATACAGTTTATAAAAATTTTTTAATTCCATCTCTCTTTTCGTCACTTTTTGCTAACGGTCAAAAAAAAAAAAATGGTTTTTTGTTCTTGGAAAGAAATTTGTTGAGAAAATAAATGAAGAAAAGTTTAGTGAATTTTTGATTTTCATTTCCATATCTATTCTCTTATTCCCAAGTATTGCGCAAAATCATAGAAAGTTTAAGAATTTTGTCAGTATCATTTATTATGGCTGAATTATAGCAACAGTAGTTTCCGCTCTTAATGCATAATGGTTTTCTTCTAACTTTAAACACTTACTGAATGGCTATATGAAGTCGTTAAGCACGTTATATCTCAACTTCTTTGGTTGTACACTTATAACAAAAATCTGTTGAAACATTAAGTTAGTTTAGCATTTAAAGCTTTGAAGCAGAAATTACTTCTCAGTTACTCTGTGATTTGTTTCCAATAGATTGTTGACTGTTTATTTGTTGGTATAAAAACATAAAAAATTTAGCGTAATATTGGATCACAAAAAATTACCACCAATCTTCTGCTTTTATTTGTTCACTGGACAGGTAGAAGATCAAAAAAAAAATTCAAAGGTACAGAGATATTTTGGAAGGAAATGTTCATTTTTTTTCCTCTCGAAAGAAACAGAATTTAAGATGTACAGAATAATAAACCGATTAGTCAATGATATATAATTGATTGTAGAAAGGAAAAAAAAAAGAAAACTTATCAACAACAATTGTTGATTATTTATTCAGCTAATTACAGTGATGAATTAAAATAGAAGTTTAAACTATATATTGGTCATTGAATAGACTGATCTATAAAGTTATTTCAAATAAAACTGCTAAACGTTGAAAATTTTTGGCACTAAAATT